CTGAGAAACTGAATATTATAAATACCCGTTAGTTGTAGCTAGATTTCTCTTTCTTCTTTATACAGTTTATTAAATCGACATTATCATCACCAACTCGGGGTTCCCGTCACAGCACCTTTAACATGCTCCTGTGGACATGATAAATCGCCGGAACATTTCATGACCTGTCAACGTGGCCTACTACAGGCACGGCTTCGTGGAGCCAATCGCCTCCGTCCCCCAGACGCTCGCTGGATTTTAAGCTCACCAGAAGGAGCTATCTTGTTCCGAGACTGGCTTAAGTCCACTCTATTTTTTCGAAGAGTTTCAAAGGTACCATTAATGGGGGAAGCTCTGTTTGCACCTACATTTGTAGGACAGCCCTGATTACTTAGACACCAACGCTGTCTAAATACGAACATCTACATGTAGTTTAATTTCCGCTTTTAATTACATAATTTATATCAATTTAAGAAGAGTCTCACTGATCTGGCGACTATGCAGACCGGGAGCAGTGGGGTCTTTATCGGGTTTTTGTTATGGGAATGCCGGTGCGTCGGGTAGCCCTTTATAGGCTGAGCTAACCGGCATGGGGCTTTAAAGCACTGTTTGTTTGTCTGTTTATTCATTTAGGTCCTAGGTCTAACCCCTTATCCCCGAAGAGTCAAGGACCGGTTTCCAGAGCCAAGATCTTATCTCTGATAAGCCCAACTTGATCCCACCGCATGAACCACTAAACAATAAGTAGCTAGTTCAAAATTCGCGACCGTACATGAATTCAACCTTTGAAACCAAACTCCTACCCACAAAACTATGCAGTACTGCAGATTTACCAATTTCTGGCTAGAAAACAAATCTTCTCGCCTTATATTCCTGACTGTCATATCATCTGTATGACTAATTTATATGCTCCTCGATGAGATCAGGGGACGAATTTGTAGATGGCAACCCAAAACAGCAGGTTTCCTTAACAAAGTTTTTGAAAATTTCGGGACACTTTGGCCCGAGAAGCTTTTGGATGAAGTCAATATGTGACAATCTCCCTCTGAGTCGACGCATGACGTGTGAATGTAGTCGACAGTGAATGAAATGGGTTGGAGTGGTCTCCTTCCCGCAGGTGCACTCCATGAGAGCGTCCATATTGTTGAAACGGCGATGATACGCCGCGAAATTGCCATGGCCCGTACGAGCTGCAATCAGATTTCGGAGTAGGAACCTCGAAAGTCCCAGCTCAGGTGGTTTTCGTCGTCGCATGAGCAGGTCGAGCTTGCAATATCGGGGCGGGCAAGCTTCGTTCCACCATTTGTCGAGCAATGCTTGCCGCAAACGATTCATTTGGCCATGCAGAAATGCCAGAGTTATGGATTCTGGCCGTATTTCCGGGCTAGGCAGCATTCGTAGGCCATACCGGGCGGCCGAGTCAGCTTCTAGGTTACCCTGAATTCTTGAATGTCCAGGTGCCCATTTAATTATCACGCGAGCTGATTTGGACAGCCCACAAAATTTCCGTACTTCGTCGTGGCTTGTCGTGGACTTGCCTGTCTCAAGTGCGTTGATCGCCTGTTGACTATCCATTAGTAGGTAGACTCGTTGTCTCGCGCTCTGGAATCCCAATGCTGCTTCAAGAGCCTTCCTTGGCGCGTTGATTTCCGCATCTAAGGCCTCCCCCCCATGCCTGATACCACTTCCTGCGAGCAAAGTCTGCCCGTCTCTCTTCAGAACGAAACCCCACGCAGAGCGTCCATTCCCTTCCGATGAGCAGTCCAAGTAGGCACAAATTCCCGACTTCGACACCAGGTTGATCTATCGTCTACATATCTCAATTTGCTGTTCTTTTGATCCTGCTTTCGGTAACTAAGATGTAGATAGTAGTGCTTCCGCACCCTCTGCCTCTAGTAATTGTCGGTACGCTCGCTGTACTCGTGACATTATTACTTCGGGAACCGAAGTTGCTCGATTTCTCTTTTTGTATTTCCGCGTGCCTATATTTGGGCACACAGCCGCACGGATCCTCAGCGGATGGCGGTCATCCAGAGTTTTGATCCTGACTGAGAGTCGAAGTCGATTACCCTCCAGAATGATTTTGCCTGGTTGAATTCCTCCTTCTCTATGCAGTACAACGTTCGCTTTCGTCCTCATTACCTGGAGAGCAGCTCGTAGTCCCATCAAGACAGCCTTGTCAATCATGCCGCAAAGATGTGCCGTTGGTGGGGTTGTCATGCTTTTTCTCGTAGGGCGTTTGAGACCAGGCCACCAGATCTCCGCACCAAATGTTGCAATAGGAACAACACACATGTCGACTGCTCTGATAAGTGCTCCTGGAGCAGCTCCTCGGAGAGTGTTGTACTGGCTCGGTTGAGTTGTTAGGAGACAGGGGAACGGAGGATGGGCAGCTGGATTAGGAAAGGATGGAAAATACAGGCTGGTGCACAGACGCTGTTCATGTACTCTACAATCTCTTCACCTGGCGAGTTTAGTGATTAATCTATCCAAAATAATATCATACTTCACATCATCCATTAGATGATATTATCAATCGTCGGGATGCACATCTAGCATCACCTTCATAGATCACCATCTGATACGCACTCAGTGTCCATCGTGCCATCACCCAGCGTGAGCGCGCCATCTCCGCGACTCACCATTGCACATGAGCCCGTGTAATTCTACCGACGGACAGCAGAGACATAATTGCTATATACCTCACAGCTCATAACCACAACACTTAGAGACAGTACAATAGTTGATGTCACAGGTAATCTATAAGAGATGACTCAAGAATGGATTTTAGGTTCTAGAGTATGAATATATGAAGAGAAGTGAAATGTGTGTGTATGTCACTGTGGACGGTACTCGACCATTTATCTATCTACATGTTGGACTTTACCGAGGACCGCCATTATCCGTGCACAATCAATCCCGTGCCTGATCACAACTCCTAGAGATCAGCCTTCCTCATTGGCTTGATACAATCTCATGACCAACCACCGATGTCTAACCATCACACAAGCATAGCGACATCGTCGATTGGTAGAATAGTCCATGCATGAATGTGCAGAGCAAATGCATGTACATGGATCATAACAAGTGGAGCTTCCTCAGAGAGGCGGAAGATAGCTTTTGAGCCCTTGGTGATTGCAACTTTTTTCAGAACGGGCGTACAAGAAGGGCGGGACGTTGTGTTGGGTCGAGACGAAGACAGCGCCGGAGGGACAGTGGCGGGAGGACCTGCGGCGGTCGATTCCCAACTCTGTGGTTGCTTTGCTGTGGGGATAGGAGGTCGTGCTAGTATGCTTTGGCTAGGCTTGGGTAAGGAGCCTACTGGCTTGTGCTATCTTTGGCTGTTGTATTGCATATGGTGCCCGGAAGCAACCGCAAGGAGAAACGCGTCCATTTGCTCGCGCACGAAGGACTAGATGAGAGGATCAGCCTCTCCAACGGCTGACTAAAACTTGTTATGAAAGGTTTGAGCCCAAGTAGCTCAACCCTTCGCAACGCACTGGGCCAGAGGAGGTGGTTGTTATGATTTGGCTATCACGGGCGCGATGACCAAACTAAGATTCACTTATTAGGGATCGAATTAGAGGAATCGAGTTGTAGGGAATAGCTGGAAAGGAGTAGGGATATGTTTTGTTTTGTTCATTAACGTGCTAGGTTACATGACTACCGTTACACTCCTATTGGAGCTTAAGCACGAGTGGGGTTGGACCGGATCAGGTTAACTACCGTGAAGTACAGATAAACCTCGTCCCACTTTAATGACCGGACCACCTCAGACTTCACCCATGTGTTGAATCATACCAAGTCTAACCGTCCAGAAACCCGCTGTATACACGCCGTAGCGCAATTTCCTCCTCAGGCTCGGCCACTATGCGCCCGAGCCATTGACATCCTCATTGACTCCGAAATATAAATGCCGTCCAAGATCTCATCGTTGCTCTAGCCTTGCACCTTCATATCGTACCATCGGGTTGTTGTCGTCATTGGGGATTTGTGTAATCCCCTCGATGTATCCCCTCTTTTCTTCCTCCTTTTTACACGTCCTGTTTCCATTATGACTTTCCTCATTAGGGCGTGTGTATGTAGGTGATCGGACGAGTATGGAAGTGGGTCGCAGGTATAGGATCGACAGAGAAATGCTTCGTCACAAATATAAAAGGAGTTTGAGAGATGTCGGATATTTGAATACGACCCCAAGATAGACCTAGGACCATTCGTGAATCGTATGTTGGTGGTGATGAGTTTTTGTTCGACGTTGTTCCGGCTGTGAAATCTCTGCCGACTGATTTTTCGACCAAAATATCGAGTGCGACTCCTTCAAGTCGAAAATACATCAATTAAAATTCATCGCACCCTTTTTCGTGACCGAATCTCGGCTCTGGGAGAATATTTCGCTTCCAGGTTCGTAGAGGACACCACTGACAGGTGTTCAGCCTTCGCCCTCCGAGTAGGGATATGTTCCGTATCTTGTTGTTAATTTCTCAATAAGTAGGGGACTAATTTAAATTCCTGTGTCACAGGTCAGGTGAAAATCATAAAATTGTGAGTATTTGAAGCCAGAGTAGAAATGGTTTTAATTGGCTTAAGTTACAGAATTTTCCCATGCGCTGCTACGCTTATTAATCTCCAATTATCTTTACACCAGGTCTACGTCAAATTTTCTACAATCATCAACGTCTGATGAGAAGCAAAATTCGCTGGAGTATCATCATCGATTAAACCTAGCTCGGATATATGTGTGTCGAGATTAATAAAGCACATGAGCTGCGCGTCGACTCGATCTTGCTATGTACAAAAGATCATCAAAATGACACCCATCTTACGTCTTTATGCAGGACTTAATCGCTAGGAAGTAAAAAAGATCTTCCACTTCAATCATAACTTTTCTTCAGACTTGAACTAGTAAATTCAAAAAGGCTACCGAATTTAATATAGCCATAGGGTAAAGCCCCGTTGGAAAATAGTGACTCAAGCATAATCTAGTGATGCGTGACTCACCGCTGGTAAATACCGAATTATATTTAAACGAATCCCAAGGAATCCTTAAAGCCCTCAAAACCCTGTGAATCTTGAATCATAATTTCATGAGTTCCTATAACTTTATCTTGCCATTCAGGCAGTGCTATGCTAACCTGTGCTGCTAATGTTTTCGGTGTCTTTAGCCTAGGCTTTGCCCCGGAGACGACATCACGTCTTTTCAATAGATTTGCTCTTTGAAGAACTTCATCCCTCCAGCTACACCAAGTCTCGTAGTTTTCTTTTTGTTTAGCGACATGATATTGGGAAGTTGAGTTTGTAGGGCGCCATGCCAGTTTGTTTTGATTATCAGCCCCAAGTTTACATATTTGAGCATTATTGCTCATGCTTAGAAGTTCAGTTAGGACACTTTGACCTTCAGACAATACGAGATTTTTACGTTTGTCTTCTTGCGAGATCGGCGCTGAAAGTGACTTTTCTAACCAGTCTATATTCTGGTACCTAACAAGACGTGCTTGACGAGCTTCTTCCCGAAGATAGCGAACAGCAGCTTGTAGGGTTGAGATCTCTTTTGTGAGAATCTCTACTTCTCGAGCGGTGGCAACTGCTTGCTCCTGACCTGCTTCTATGCCGTTAACTTCCATACTGAGAACTTTAACGTCTTCGGCCGCCCTTTTCCAGTTATCACGATCAGCTTCTACTACCTTAATCTCGCTTCTAAGCTGTTCTATGGACTCAATGACTTCATATTCATGTGCTTTAGCTTGTTCTATGCGATTTTCCAGTTCAGTAATTTTCTTATTCTTCAAAGCAGCATCTCTCATGCGACTTTCGAGAATTTCAATTTTTACCGATGCCTCATCCAAGGATTGATCCTTTAATGCTATCAATTTTGCACGTTCATGGGTCTCATCTTTTAGGCGGCTTAGCTCCCCTTCAATGTCAACAGGGACGATTTTTGATTTCTTTAGTTCTTGCGATCGTAGCACCCAGGGTTCGGGAGCTCTCTCGAATTCTTGGGTTAAACTTAAATCTGATGTGAGATTAACGAGATCTATCAAAGAATTTGTTAGTGAAAGAACTTTTGTTGAAAATGTGGAAAATATCTCCGCATCATTTGTGTCGAATAAATTCGAGGTAGCTCTGTGGATAGTGTTTTGAATTTCTTGGTAGGTATATGGATCAGTCTGACCCTCTTCATGGAGTGACATGAAGAGATTGGCTCCGATTTTTTTAACATATACAATCATTTCCTTGACCGAATCCTCACAGTTTTTAAATGACTGGAGCGTGTTAGGCATGAGCGATAAAGATCTCAAGTTAAGATCTTCCAAAGCCTTAACTATTTTACCAATGATGACTTTGGCATTTCTTGTTTGGGAAATAATCGCATCAGTTTTAGATGAGAAATCTTGAGCCAGTTCATTTTCATCTACCTGACATGGAACAATAGCCTGTACCATGTTTTTTGTAAGAAGGATAGCAGTTGCTATATTTTCTAGATTATTTCGCATAACGACACACTTCATGTAAATTTCATCAGCATAACTTTCAAGACCACCCTTAATGTGTACCTCGGCAAGGTGAGACAATAATGCTATTGTTCTTTGTAGTTCTTCTGCACATTGGTTTACCATTAACTCTTCTCTAGGTACTAGCTCAATCCAAGAATTGAGAGCTCTCTCAACAGGCTCAAGGTCATAGAGTGAACTCTCGTACTTTGTAAATTCGGAGACCTTACAATGACTAATGGCATTGACAAATCGATGACATGTCGCTGTTACCCAAGAGAGCTTGTCAAGGACTTCAAGAGCAACAAAAATATCTTCCTCAAGTTCAGCGGGTGCTTTCGAATTTATTCTTTCTTTAATAAATCCATGCAATAGATTTGCTTTGAATCCTACCCTTTTGAAACGCAGCAAGGCAAGAATGGCATCACGATCAGCCGTAAACGCATTTGGTAGAAACAGCTGCACTATCGAAAGGTGCTCTGAAGCTTGTTGCGCATCGAGTCTACGCAGTTCCATGTCGATCGTCTTCAGTTGGGTTTTGGTCGCGGAGACCTGAAGCTTCATATTAAGATCCCATATTTCGCGAGACCGATTGCTTAACTGCTCAGTCTCCGTTTCAGTTATAGCGTGGGAGGCTTTCATATCATCCAAGTCAGTTTTAAGGTTTATCACAAGTTCCCTAAATCTAGACAAGTTGTATTCCAGGTCTAAGGTTTTTTGGTTTTGTTCTATATTTCGTCTTTTTTGTTCAGTAATGATACTTTCCTTCAAGTCAATTTCAGCCTGCATGTCTTTCTCAATCTCAACGTGATTTGTTTCAACTTCGTCGCTTATTTCCTTCAAGGTTTCGAAATCTGTAATCGTAGCCCGCAACTCTTCAATTTCCTCCTTCATCCCCATATTTTTTTCCGTTAATTCTTCAATCATATCTTCAGCCCCTATCGCTGTATCGAGTTGTTGTTTAAGATCCTCAACAACAGCTTCAGTCAACGACAACTTTTTCTTGAGGCTTTGATATTTTTCTTTGGTTGTACTGAAGCCTTTTAGATCTTCTAGTAGACTTTTTATCTCGCTACGAAGTTCTGATTCTTTTTGCTCAGTCATATCACGTAGTCTAAGGAGCGCCTCTTTTAGCCGCTCATTATTTCTTTCCATGTGAAGCCAACTTTGACTGGCCTTCTCTTCGGGACTTATTTCGTTTCCAAGCTCTTCATTTTCTTCTCGTAGGACTTCCACTTCTAGCTCTAGCTCTTCAGTTTTAAGCTTTAAAGCATCCAGTTCCGATTTTAGAACTTCAGCTGTTTCCTCAGCCATCTCTCGATCAAGCGTAGCCATTTCCAACGAAAGATCACGTTCAACTTGATTATTCTCCGCCTCTTCAAGTTTTAGATTTGCTTCTTTCAACTGTTTCCGCAATTCCGTGATTTCTTGTTGCTGAGGTTGGTATTTCATCTGCATTTTTTGAATAATGAGCTCGAATCTATCTCTCTCTTCCTGTATTTTTTCCATTAATTTTATCTTTTCACGGCTCTCCAATGCTTTTTTCTCCATTATTCTTATTTTTGTTTTTAAATCTTCTATCGATCGAGATGCTGCAGTACCGGTTACCGTTTTCCCTTGTAGCACGGGCGATAAATTTTGCCGCATAGGAGTTGGTGTCTGGCCAGCTCTAGTGGAGGATACAGAGATATCGCATAGGTTAGAACTAGCTGATTTAGGTGAGACTGAAAAATTTGTTGCATTATCGTAAATCTCATTATCACTACCTTGACTTGTAATAGATCCAACTCTTTTACTAACTCGAGTGCTGAGTACTGGAGCAGTTTTTTTCGGGCTGACGTTTGATCTCTCTCTTATAGCACCAGAGGATATCCTTGATGTTGATTGTCGTATCTTTGGTGGTGGTGGTGGTGGTGGCATGGATGTTCGAATCCTGTTTCCAGCTGTTCTTGGTTTTGCCTGCGCAGCAATACTTGTATTTGAAGCTGTACCTGATGCTGCTACAGAATGCTGCTTTATCGGCGACTTGATTGGTGACTATAGCGCGTATTAGTGAAAAGCATAATTTGTCTATTTCCCTTCTCTTACACGTATGATGCTAGATGGCCTCGAGCCCGGTCGAGTGGATGGCCCAGAAATAGGACTTGAGGTACTTGAACTTATCCGTTTTCCAGAAATTGGCTCTTGTACACTGCTTTTTCTCCTTCCAAGATTCACACTGATACTGCTTCTAGGCCTGGTAACCTTCTTAGCTTTACTTGTAGGTCTCGCTGCAAGTGGTTGCGAAATAGGTCTTAGTCCAGTAGGCCTCAGAAACATTCCCCTACCCATCTTGCATTCAAAGTATCGCTGGTTTTGAACGCTACCATCATTTTTTCCATCCAGAGATTCTAGCTCAACCCCAACCCACACACCTGGCGCAAATGCTGTCTCTCCGACGAAGCGAACGGTACCTTCGATGCCATTCTCGTTCAGACGCACACTCTGGCCGATTGAGAACTCCCCCATGATGTGGGGAAACTTTTTTTGTCGCTCACATAAAAGACGGTGTTGATCGAGTGAATAATCACTGAAGAGTCTTTAGGTTGTGCTATGTCTCGTGGACCGCACTTCGATTCTAACGTTTCGAGTATCCAATGTTTAGCTTTACTTGTTGTCACGTGATATAGTGTAGATCTATATGTTTGGTAATTCCGATGAATTGTGGTCTGTTGATGATTTAGTGGGCATTCGAACGTATGTATATATGTGTATATTGTCCTATGAATTCTACGACTATGTAAGGACATGTAGGTCTTTTCTGCCTACAGGCCTGGAATATCTATGCCTCCTTCACGACTTCTTTCCAGTAGTAATACCCCCACAGGTCTTCATTCGTGTACACACTATGAGAAACTGTTACCCCGTAATTATTTCCCCGCTCCAGCCAACAAAACAATAGGAATTTGCGAGTTTGTAGCGGCAAGGAAAATTCCCAAAAATTACTGGTTACGGGGCTCTCCTATGACGAAGAGGCCGGCCAGCCGGGCGCAGCAGACCTGTGTATACCTAACAGCGTCTCTCAACCTTCCTAGCCTCCTCCTTACTCCTCTCCTGATTCATGCCGCAGGACAAATCGAAGGTCGTGAAAGGATGTCAGAAAACTCTTGGTCGAGAGTGACTGCCGTGAAGGAGCCTAGCCCAGCATCCAAAAGTCGTTACGGACGTGGGGTTGTCGAGTAGCTCATGTATTTCAGATGCCCTTCTGGCTAGTAGATTCTGAAGTATAGATTAGTAGGGACGATATCATTGACGAGTCGAAATCTGCTTTTCTTGAGGGCGGAAGGGTCTTTTACTCTGCTTTCGTGGGCTTTTTGTTCGCCCGCCGGTGGGTAGCACATGTTGTGATATAACGAGGGCTTCTCTGACTACCGTTGTAGCGTTTGGCACCGCATTATCTTTCTTCATTCCCAGCATCATTATCGTCGTCTTTGTCGTCTTATGTGTTATCTGAAGCTTATCTTTGACGGAGAGGAAGATAACTCAGCTCAAAGTTGAATAGGTGTTACTCAATCTCGGCACTACAGACTCTACAGTGAGAGCTGGAGATTCGAAGGGGATACCACGGAAAGGTGTTGAGAATGGTCCCCCAGGACAGAACAGAATTCACGCTGCATGAAAAGTACCAACGCACTTCCTGTAGGAAACCTTAGACAGACTAATAGACATGAGACAGACAGGAGGGCAAGACTGAACACCTGTACGCGGTGTCCTCTACGAACCTGGGAGTGAAATATTCTCCCAGAGCCAAGTTCAGTCAAATTTCGCAATATCAAAGAAGTTGGCCCACGAGGCAAAAATCCAAATTACTTATCCACGTCGTTGTTTCGCTCCCAACGAGTTTGACTCCTATCTTCGTCTCATCAAGTCTACAAGTACGACCAAGTACATCCTCATCCCGATGACCACACCGCTCTTCGACCTTCTCTGGCCTCAGTTGACCGCCAAATACACGCCCACGCCGATATTTATACCCGACGGAGGAAGCAAAGCGTGGCGCACAAATCTGGGAGATAGTTATTTGAGATGGACTTGAGAGGAATCAGGATAAGTCGACATGATGATACGAAGGAAGGATAAAACCTCGAAGGGCGTGAAATTCCGAATTTTGGCAAGGAGTTTTTCGAATTGGGCTTTGTGCGCGCCAAGACTTCGCTTGCGAGGGTGCAGTTGACACTATAAAAACAAGCAAACGATGGAAGGTATTGTGGTCCGCCTCCTGGTGGTGTTCTCTGGTATAGTTTGAGTAGCCTGGGCACCTACTCCACTTGGGAAGGAGACACCTCAGATCACATATCGCGCGGAGAAAGGTTGAAAGATGATGGAGGCATGTCTGGATAACCCAGGGTTTTTGAGATGTTCCCCTGGGTGGGTATTCACGGATGAGGGTTGACTTGGGGTGAAGAAAAAGCCACCATAACTTCGCAGTGGTACTTGCAAATGAAATCCGAGGCATGAGTGCTCTTCTTGTAAATTGAGTCATCTATCATACACTTCTCTGATATTGTGTCATAGCTAGATAGCTGCATACGCAATTAAAATCTGATGCAAAAAAAAAAAAAAAAAAAAAAAAAAAAAAAAAGAGACAGACAATTTTGGGGGTTTTTACCGAATTAGCTTCCTCCGTTGCAAATATTATAGCTAGATATACCTAAACGGACCAAATGACGTCAAATAAAGAATCGTAATTAATGGGAAATTAGTTACGTGCATTCTTCAAATCCCCGTACTTACCATAATTGGAAGCACAGATTCCAGCAATAATATAAAGCGTATTCTTTTCCATCAGGGTCTAAACGATTATTGCGGCTTGCTTCTTTCCTTTGCTCAAAGGCCCAGCCTTTTATTTTCCCCTTGTTCTACTTTCTGCATTTCATTTACAATTCCTAGTAGGCTTGTGTGGAGTTCTCCCCCTAAAATGAAGGGCTTTAACGGTGATGATGCGACAGCTAGAACAATTGCATCGGTTGGTGGTTCTTGTATGAAGGGTGATGAGTAATTATTTGTGGGATGGGTCAGGAGGATTGTGATGAAATTTCAAATTCATATATGTATTTTGAGAAACCGGTTAAGTTAGTTTATTTATTAACTTCGTGACTGCACCAACTCCCGGCTGAAACGACTACAGCTCCCTCAACAATTAAGGACGGACTTAAAAACACCTTCGCAGCCCTCAACCGGTTTGTCAGGCAAAGGTGTGAAGAAGCGGTGGAATCCTGGTGGCTAAAACATAGACCTAGCCGCTATGAGGAGTTGGATCTCCGAATGAAACGAAAACGTCCACCAGAGCTAGCACTTCCGAGGTGGGCGTATCACCACTTGGTCGCAGCGAGGACGGGACATGGTGATTTTAGGAACTACCATGAAAGGTTTGGCCACGAATGGGAAAACTGCAAATGCGTTTGCGAAAGAGAGAAACGTCCCTGGCATTTTGCCGAATGTCGGATTGCTCTACGGCACTGGAGAGAAGAGAAGCATGAACCACCACCGAGTGGACGGGAGATGCTGGCAGAAAAGGGAGGGGGTAAATTTCTCCAGTTCTTAACAGTAACTAAGTGTTACGAGATGCAGAGCGCAAACCGGGAGGATTAAGTCCTGCCGGAGGAAATTTCCCACAGGACTAAGGGCCACGAGGAAGGAGGAAAGGCGCAGGGCGTTTTTTTTTTCGAAATTTAATTGATTATCTAGGTTTTCTACAAATAGTTTCTGAGAAGCAAACTATGTACCTAGGTTGTAGTGTGGCCCCAGGGAGCACAGACCCGTATCACGCCTATTAGGTGTAGGGCAAAAGCCTGATACGTAATGTATTCAATTCAATCCAATTCGTGACTGCACCTACTAGCAAAGACGAATTCTTCGCCGCCAGTAGTGCCGGTGTAATCGCTAAGTATGCTCTGCATACCTGGGGTAGGCAAGAAGAATCGCACCCGAATCAAAGTCGAAAGCAACCTCAAGCATGTCTGAAATCGACGACTTCTCGACAAATGTTTAATCTATCATTCTCATGCGAATTCTCTACCTCACTCTTAATACGCCACCTCGCCTCAAATACCGATCATGGCATCACTCAAATTGCGGGGGACTATTCTCAACACCTGTCAGTGGTGTCCCCTACGAACCTCCAGCTCTCACTATAGAGTCTGCAGAGCCGAGATTGAGTAACAAAGTCCTCACTTCGAAGAGGATTCCCAATCGCTTTCGCGGTCTGTATCGTCTTCATCTCTCAACACATTCCCCTATCACCACTATCATGAAGCTAACCACGATCAGATCAGATGGTATGGTCGGAGCCCTACTCGTCACCCACCCTTGATCATGGAGGAAAAGCCATCCGATGAGTTTCCGGAGCGCACCCAGCACCCGATACGGAGATGGTGGATTGGATCAAGTCGGCCTCGACTGTTACAAAGAAGGGAGATATAGATGAATATGCGCACCTCATATGGTCCCGGTGTCTAGGCCTCGCCTGGCTGGGACTGCAGGTTTTTTGAGACATTTTCCCGCGCACGCAGTTTCCATTGCTACCATTTTTATTTTTTTTGGGTAGAAGGTTCCGTGGAAAAGGTGGCTGAATTCCACAGGTAAATACTGAGCTGAATGGCTATTCATCAAGGGGAATATATCAATGATCTTTCAAGTAACAAAAGAGGATAGGAGCACTGTACAAGGTGTGGCCTGGGTCAGAGAGGAGCCCAATGTGCTAGATAGTCATAGACTCAAGTAGTACAATAAAACACACACACATCACTCAAATTGCAATCGGGCATTTACCTCATCAAAGACTGGTCATCTTGTTGGAAATATCGCGCAACAAAATGGACGCAATATTTATGGAACAGAAGTAGAAGTTGACTGAATAAGTGTCATGTTCGGATTACAGCTAAGGTTGTGGAAAGTGTGCGCCACAGGTACAAGTGTAAGCGACACAGAGCCCAAGCCACAGCATAAACGAGTGTGGCGGCATATAGGCGTAGAAAACCCCAATAATTGCCTTATGAGGGTTGGATGGTGCAGTGGTACACCATCCGGGCCGTTCTCCCAAGTTGATACTGGATAACCTTGAACACCTATCCCATACGAGGCAGGAGAAAGCTGGTTCGAATCCAGTCACACTCTCACACCACTCTCTCTCGCGGTGATATCGTACTTATGGGGTGATGAAAGCACACCCGGATAGCCACAGGTTTTTCACGCTTTTCCATGTGGTGGATGTGCACGGAAGAGGTTATACGCCGTAAGATTTAACGTCGAGTGGTATCTGCAAATGAAATTTGAGTGTGAACGTCCCAGCGTCAAATTGAGTAATCTTATTTAAAGTACATATCTTCTGACAAAAATCTGTATGAGCCTCATGGCGCCAAATCAGGATAATGAATAATTTATTTATACGCGACGATGACTTAGTTTGACATTCGGGGGACTATTCTCAACACCTGTCAGTGGTGTCCCCTACGAACCTCCAGCTCTCA